CATGTAATAAGGCTAAATTGCCAAAGTCACAAATATATTAATTTTTATGGGAGGTGGTTTGATAGAGAATTTCTTTCTTACATTTCATAAATTTTCTTAAAAAATAAAAATTCTGGTTTTATAAAAAAGGAAAAAACATGATGAACATCCTATAAGTCAATACCCTATGCCTGCATTCACTGAAAATGAGCATGTCCTGGTGCTGAGCACAGAGCAGAAAGCAGCTAGCTCCTCATTGGGGGCCCAAAGAAAGGGATTTGGAGGCCTGGATTTGGGGCTGCTGGGAAAGGCCAAGTACTAGTAAATCAGAAAAAAGATCACAATTGTGAAAAAAGCAAAGGCTCCAATCTTGCTTTTCTTGGTCCTAAGGAACATGCTGAATAGCAACCTTGTCAGCAATTAGAGAAAGTGGACATATTGCCATCTGGTGGTGACCATGAAAGACAGTTTAAGATAGTTTATAATCTTGGCTATTCAGGATTAAAATGTTGCTCCTAAAGTGGTTCTGGCATCCCCTGGCAGTTGGTAAGAAATGCCTAATCTAAGGTCTCACCCTGAACCTGCTGCATCAAATGTACATTTTAAAAAGCTCCCAAATGATTTGCATGCATGTTAAACTTGGGGAAGCACTGGTTTCAACAAGACTGTTCATTTCTTAGGCTTTCTCATCTAGAAGTCAAAAGTAGTCCTATCCAAAAAGATCAGCACCACTGTTATCAGCAAAATGGGATACATCTACCTTGAGGAAGAATCATGGGAGAAAGCATCTTTTATCCTAGTCTATAAATTGTAATGTTCATTCACCTGGATACAAAATAACCCCATGACCTAATGGTGCTTTACTCAGAACCAAGGATGTTAAAAAAAAAAAAAAAATCATCAGATCAGATTATTTGGTCAGAAACAAAGGTACAAACCCCCTAGTAGCACCTCTTCCTAAAAATAATGCTTTCATGGATTCCTTTAATGGATGAGGATGGGGAGGGATTAACGTTCACAAAAACAAAGTAGAAGCTGCGCACTGTGGCATATGCCTATAACCCAGTGTTTCTCAACCTTCCTAATGCTGCAATGTATTTTCATCATTAAAAAGGGGTCATGACCCACAAGTTGAGAATTGCTGCTATAATCTCAGCACTTATGGGAGGCCAAAGCAAAAGGATTGCTTGAGGCCAGAATTTAAGACCAGCCTGAGAAATGTAGTGAGACTCTGTCTCTACACACACAAAAAAAGTAGATCCATCTTTATTATCTATTCCCATGGCACAGGGCCCTCTCCTTCAACTTTTCTACTGTCTTCTCAACTACTACTCTGGATAGAAAGGCATTTGGGGCGGATAGGTCTAAAAACTACACCATCAAAACAATAAATAATAAAAAATAAAAACTACGCTGTCCCATACAGTGGCCACTAACTTAATTACATGAAATTAAAATTTCAGTTCTTCAGATGCACAAGCCATAGAAGTACACATTTCGACTGTTTAACAGCTACATGTGAATAACAACTATTATATCAGAGTAGGTATAGAATATTCTATCATCTCAGAAAATTATATTGCATAGAGCTGTCTAAAAAGATCCCCCAACTCCATCTTAGGTTTTAAAGCTTATGCAACTAATAAAATCTGAAAAATAAAATATATGCATATGCATATACATAAAATATATGCATATACATACAAGCCTATGTATGTATAAAGGAACAGTGATATTCAGTACATAATTCCATTCAGAGATCATTGCATACAGAGATCATATTTAGAAATTGACTTCTATGAGGGTTCCATTGCTGGGAGTATTTTAGGAACTACAGAAAGATTCTACCTTACTAGCCACCCCTGATTAACTGTCATCCTCTTCTTTTTAGATTTTTATTAGTTTCACTGTTAACTCAATGTTTCTCTGTAGGCTTACTAGCCTCTAGAGTGGCAAGTAAATCTCTGTGGTCAATAGTCTAGGAAACTTTAAAGTAATCAAACATTCAACAAGTATCAGGGGTTTTAGGCTTGAACTGCATACACTGCCATCAGAGGCTCCCCCGTGAGTTGAACAGCAAGCCTTCATACTTCTCACCTGCATGCTTTTCTCCCAAGCAAGTGCAGCTAAACTCTAATGAGTAAAAAGGGGACAAGCTGAGATTCTACAGAATCCGTTCTCTTGGTTCTAAACTCAGACTTCAGATTTGACTGGTAAAAAAGCAAGAGTGGAAGGGAGAGCAAGAACCCTATCTCAGAATATAAGGTGTTTTTTAGGATTAACAGACTTCCAAAGATTCTACCATACAAGAAAACAAAACAAAAAAGATCAAAATTTTACAAACTAAACAAAAATGATTCATGCCAAAGATACTCGCAGTATTTTAAAGATTTAGATTAAAATTAATAAAAGATAATTTTACAAGCAAATTATCCATTTTCTACCACTAACTACTGGTCCTTTGTTATTTTAAAAATTGGAAATTCACTGGCAAAGTAACCTGCTTACTTTTGATTTCTCAATTTGTGGAAACCATTCTGAAACCAGGATTACATACATAATTTCAGAAAGTACTTAACAAAATCTTATTAAGTATATTACCTCACAGAAGAAATCACAGTTCCCTAAAATATCATTTAAAAACTAAACATGGGGCTTGGCGCCTGTAGCTCAACCGGCTAAGGCGCCAGCCACGTACACCTAAGGTGG